TTCTATGAACACTTGGGTACATATGTTTTCATTCCTCTTGGGTCAATATCTAGGAGTGGAATAGCTGGGTCTTATGATGTGTATATTTAACTTTAGAGGGCACTGCCAAACTGTTTTCCAAAGTCATTAACCATTTTACATTCCCACCAGCAGCATATGAGAGTTCCAGGCAGAAAGCCAGGGCAAACATAGTTCACTTTGCTTGTTTCCCTTCCCACAGACATCACAGTCCTGAAATGCCTGCTGTTCAATGTCTGAAGAGTTCAGAGTCAGAGGGCACATACCAAGTACTCTGTCATGGCCAGATGCAAAGTCTACCTGGGGAGCATCTTAAAAAGCATGATTCTTGAGTCCCATCCCATACCAATTAAATCTAGATTCCTGGGGTACAGGTGGGGGAGGGTGATTCTAAAGGGTAGCAATGTTTGAGAACATCTGGCCCAGAGGGTGTGTACCTGGGCAGTGCAAACAGTTAAGCACTGGGCTACTAACCAAAAGGTTGATGGTTCGAAATCCACCCAGATGCACTTCAGAAGAAAGGCCTGGTATTCTACTTTCTACAGTCATTGAAAACCCTATGGAGCATCTACTCTAAAACACATGGGCTTGCAGGGGGGTGTGTGGGCTTTTTTTTTTTTTCGGTTGGCCCAGAGGGTAATATTTAACCCATTCACTAAAGCGAGATCCTTTAGAATCTGCCCTAATCCTACATGTCTAGTTTAGATTTCCCTCCCCATACACAGTTTTGGTAACTTCTAATATTCCATCATAGGGGCAACAGTGGTTTGGTGGTAGAATTCTCATTTTCCATGCTGGGGACCTGGTTTCGATTCCCGGCCAATGCACCTCTTGCTCAGCCATAGCCCACCTGTCAGTGGAGGTTCACGTGTTGCCACGATGCTGAACAGGAGCTTCCAGACCAAGAACTAGGAAGAAAGGCCTCGCGATCTACTGCTGAAAATCAGCCAATGAAAACCCTATGGATCACAACAGTCTGATCCCGTTATGCATGAGCTAGCCATGAGTTGGGGGTCAACTCCAAGGCAGTTAACAAGCTTCAGTCATGTAGTACTGTCCCTGACTATGAACACAGTATTTCAAATCTCTGTCGCTGTACATACTCTTGCCTTTACACGTGGTCCCTTTTGGTTCACTGTCTACTTGAAATTCTTATACTTCAAATAACAGCTAAAAAGTCACTTTCTGTATGGGGCATTTCTTTTTAAAGAAGAGCTAGGAATTCCTAGGGCAGAATGTTGTATGAAAAAGAGTACCAGTTCAACATACGCAAGGTTTAGTATCTGGTATACTATTCTTTATTACAGTGAATTTACTCGTTATTTATGAATAACACAATGACAATAATTACCTAGCAGAGGGATATATGAGATAATACATGTAATGCACCTAGCATGGTGCACATAGCAGGCAACAACAGAATATTCCCCTTCACACCCACATTCCTTTCATAACACTTCCTGCAAAGCTCGCATGGTAATTTTGTCATTTTACATCTCTCTGTTCCCAACTAGATTGTGAATTCTATAATGACGAGGACTATTTCTTTTTACCTTTCCATTCTCGGGGCGTAACAGTGCCTAGAATAAGACAGGAGTTTAAATAAATCTCGGTGGAATGAAGAGGGTTTAACAGTCCTCTAGTTCTGGTTGCAAAGAGCCTTTACGGTGCTCTCACCCTCAGTTCTGCGCTTTGGGAACGATGGGCTTACCTGGTTCTTGACAGGGAAGATGAGAGAATTACATCAAGGTAGGGTTGCATGTTTCATCAGCTAAAACGTTCAGAGGAAGTTTTCATTGTTGAGTTCACTGAACCTGCGAGCCTATGCTGCCCACTGGGGTCAGTAACTGCCCTCCGCGGCGGTTTACACCGGCTCAAGCTTGCGGCGAGGGGAACACGAGGCTTAAGCAGAGGCTACTGAGAAATTCCCGCCGCCAGTTTCCCTTATGGAAAAAAGGGAGCAAAAGAGGTGGTCTGGGGGAGGCGCCCGGGGAGACTACAACGGGCGAAGGCACGCGCTGGGAGGGTCGGGGAACCGGGCGTCAGTGTGGACGTTCCGGGGGACCGGGACCGCGTTAAAAAGGGGATTCGGCAGCCGGCCAAAGGCGCGCGGGGGAGGAGCTCCAGAGGTTGGAGGTACGCAGTAAGGAGCGCGTGGGGGAAAAGCCTCGGAGAGCGGGGGCGCGCCCTGACCAAGCCCCTCTTCGTGGGACTCGCTGCCAAGCTCCGCCTCCCCGCCGTTGCGCGGCAACCGTCCCGAAAGTCCCGAGGAGGCGAGTCTCGGGAGATCACCAACTGTCGGCGGAAGATGGCGGAGGGCGGCAGCGCCGAGCAGGGCGAGCAGGAGAGGCAGGCTTGTTTGCCGCGGCCCCCGAGCGCGCGGGATTTGCAGGTGCGGTGGGAGGCCGAGGGCGGGGACCGCGGGCGCGCGTGAAAGGTGGCCTCTGGCCTCGGCTGAGCCTCCGCAGACCCCTTGTAGGGGCAGAAACGTGGCCCCGGCGCTGCGTCTCCCGGAGACGCCCATCGCTTGGGGGTGGTTGTGGAAACGGGTGCCGGAGCCCGTCTAGTACCACTCTCTCCTTTCCCCTCCTACCACTCTCTCCTTTCCCCTCCACCCCATTTTACAATTTGTTGAAACTAAGAAGCAACTCAATGTAGAATGGCATTTTGTGAGGCCATTTGTGCTATTCCCCCGTTTGTGTTTCCTGTGATTTAGTGCAGAAGAAATTTTTATCGTGGACGTAGGGGAATCAACGGACACTTCAAACATGGTGGCAGATGTGATGGTTTGTCCCCTCTGGTCCTGGATGCTGTTTCTCACCAGATTATATATGTATATAAATAATTCTTTTTTATCATTTAGCTTTTGTGTGTCAAAGGGGTGAGTTAAGCGTTTCATCCTGCAGCTGTACAGCCTAGTTTTTAAAGCTACAATTTATAGACCATTCCATATAAAAAACGAAGAAATATGACTTTATAAAGTTATGGGACACTTTAGTTAGCTGAATACCAGTGCGCCAAATACTGCTCTACCAGATGATTTTAGGTCTTTTTTCTGCCTCCTTATAGGATCGTTGATAAAATTCAACAAGTAAGTGTCTGTAAGTAGCTGTAATTAAAAATAAACGAGACTCCACAAGGCTTAGGTACAACAGTCCTGTTATTGTCACACCTTCATTCTGCGTCTTTAAGCAAACGTGTATATTGACCACCTGCCGTATAACAGCATACTGCCTAACTTCGGGGAATGCAAAGATAGATAGGACATCATATCCACAGTCAGTGCTGAACACTTTGGGGAAATAGAAGACATGTGAAAGGTATTTCTACCTTTTGAAAGCCTGCAGGGTTTTTGGAGAAATGGGATATGAATACATTTAACATAACATTTTAGGATGAAGTATGGTTGAGTGCCAAAATAAGCAGTGCATAAATGAGGAATTTGGAGAATGGATATAGATCAGTGTAAGGTTAGAGATGAACCCGATGTAGAATAGTTCCAGTGCCCGCAAGTTAATTCAGTAGTAAACAATCAAGGAAAGGAAGCTATCATCTACTTCATTTCTATTATAGACCTCCTCCCATTGTTGTCCAGTCAATTCCAACTCATAGCAACTCTATAGTACAGAGTAGAACTGCCCCATAGGGTTTCCAAGGCTGTAATTCTTTTTTTTTTTAATTGTACTTTAGATGAAGGTTTACAGAACCAAATAGTTTCTCATTGAACAGTTAGTACACATACTGTTTTATGACAATGGTTAACAACCCCACGACATATCAACACTGTCCCTTCTCAACCTTGGGTTCCCTATTACCAGCTTTCCTGTCCCCTCCTGCCTTCTAGTCCTTGTCCCTGGACTGTCATACCCCATTAGTCTCATTTTGTTTTATGGGCCTGCCTAGTCTTTGGCTGAAGGGTGAACCTCAGGAGTGACTTCATTACTGAGCTAGAAGGGTGTCCGGGGGCCATACTCGGGATTTCTCCAGTCTCTGTGTGACCAGTAAGTCTAGCCTTTTTTTGCGAATTAGAATTTTGTTCTACATTTTTCTCCAGCTTTGTCCAGGACCCTCTGTTGTGATCCTGGTCAGAGCAGTCAGTGGTGGTAGCTGGGCACCATCTAGTTGTACTGGACTCAGTCCGGTGGAGGCCTTGGTAGCTGTGGCCAAATAGTCCTTTGGACTAATCCTTCCCTTGTATCTTATTTTCTTCATTCTCCCTTGCTCCCAAAGGAATGAGACCAGATCGTTGATATGCTTGAGTCCATCGCTGTAGCCACTGTATGTTTTGAGTACCTTCTAAGCTAGGAGGCTCATCTTCCAGCACTATATCAAACAATATTCTCTTGTGATCTATAGGGTTTTCATTGGCTGATTTTCGGAAGTAGATCACGAGGCCTGTCTTCCTAGTTTGTCTTAGTCTGAAAGCTCTGCTAAAACCTGCACACCATGGGTGACCATGCCAGTATTTGAAATACCAGTGACATAGCTTCCAACATCATAGCAACATGCCACCACAATATGACAAACTGTGGTAGAAACAAGCCAGTGGTAGAAACAGATACGTTGTTGTGAGGTGCTATTGAGTCAGTTCGACTCATAGCAACCCTGCATACAACAGAACAAAATACTGCCTGGTCCTGCGCCATCATCGCAGTCATTGCTATACTTGAGCCCATTGTTGCAGCCCTTGTGTCAGTCCATCTCGTTGAGGGTCTTCCTCTTTTTTGCTGACCCTCTACTTTACCAAGCATGGATGTCCTTCTCTAGGGACTGATTACTCCTAATAACATGTCCAAAGTATGTGAGACGTAGTCTCACCATTCCTGCTTCTGATTGTACTTCTTCCAAGACAGATTTGTTCTTTTGGCAGTTCATAGTATACTCAGTATTCTTTGACAACACCACAATTCAAAGGCGTCAGTTCTTCTTTGGTCTTCCGCATTCATTGTCCAGCTTTCACGTGCATATGCAAGTTATAATGTATAATTTGGTAATACTATTTTTTAAAAGGTATATAGACCATGTATATCATTTATTTGTTCATTTTCCTAAAATTCATTACATTTATATGTCTGATAGACTTTTAAATAGAATAATTTTGAAATTGTTTTATGTACTTTGATTTTGAAAACTTGAACACCTGAACGAAATTACTTTATGAGATATAATATTGAGAATAAGCTGACATTAGTGTGAAACATCTTAAGGTATTTTTTGAAAGAATTGCAGGAGTATTATGTAGGTCCAAATTTGAAAGTAGTTTGTTACTTTAATACAATTTTTGAAAATGTTGAATAATTGAAAATAATTAAACAATTATTATAACTTGAATATATTCTAATATATGTGATTTGTTCTCCCATAAATATATTTGGTTATTTCTGTTATAAAATGAAAGATGCAGTGACTATTTTGGAAGAGAGTCATCTTCTGAAACAGCAGCTTTTATTTTTTAATGAGAAATCGTTACCACTCAATTAAAAGTTAATGTTCTACTCATAACATCTATTTGTTTAGAGGAGTTTATTTCTACTGTCATACATTATACTAAGCCTGTTTTTATATAGTTGGCCTTGGCAGGATTATGCGAAGATGAAATGAAAGGCAAATCTTCCAGGAGTGATAGACCTAAAGCTACAGTCTTTAAAAGCCCACGAACACCATCTCAAAGGTAAGTTTTGTTTTAGAAATTGTAACCCCTTCTAGTTCACTAGTCCCAAATTTTTTTAGATAGCCTTGGGAATTTTTTTTAAGCTTTAATTTCTTTAAATATTATTTAGGTACTACGCCTAAAATTTTAATACAAAGCTAGAAGAAACTTACAGAAAAATTATCTAGTTAGGTGCTGTGATGGTTAAGGTTGGTATGTAGTTGGCCTTGGCAGAATTAACTTGGCTGAGCCATGATTCTCAATTGTTTGGCAATTATGTGATATAATTTGGCAGTTGTGATCTGATGTTATCACCTCCATGATGTAATCTGATATGATCAGTGAATCAGTTATAAGGGGAGTTTCCTTGGGGGTGTGGCTTATATCCAGTATATTTGGACATTCTGGCAAAGCTTGCTAACTTCTGCTCACTCTGGATCTTGACCTCTGCTTCTTGGAACTTGAGCCAGTAGCTTGCCATATTGCTTATATTTCTTGGGATTCGTTGACCTCCACTGCCTATAAGCCAGCAGCCTGCTGTCTTACCTACTGATCATGGATTCGTCAGCCTCCACAGCCCATGAGCCAGCAGCCTGCCATCAGACCTGACAATCTTGGGTTTGTCAGCCCCTGAAACTACATGAGTCAGGAGAAGCCTCCAGCTTGGCACCTGACCCACAGACTTGGAACTTGTCAGCCTCTATAGCCATATGAGCCATTTCCTTGAGATAAATCTCTGTCTGTGTGTGTGTGTGTGTGTGTGTGTGTGTGTGTGTGTGTGTGTGTGTGTACACACATGTGTGTACATACATATACACATGGGGGTGTATGCATACACGTGTGTGCTTCACTGCTTTTGCTTTTCTAGAGAACCCAGCCTAAGACATTTGGTACTGGAAGTGGTTCCAGAGAAACAGAATAGTAAGGATGAGTTTTCTGAATTGATTCTCAAATCTGGTTGGTCTTAAAGATGTTGGTGACTCTGCTTCCAGTAGTAAAGAGGGCACTGCTAATCCATGGTGTGAAGTGGCAATAGAAATACACAAAATATCACCACCAATAGATCAAGTATTGATGAGAGGTGAGGCTCTGGGTAATTGCAGGTTTGATACTTTTCTACAATTTTGTCAGAATAAGAAGTATAAGGAAGCTGATTGGTTGGTCCTACTTTCGCTAGACAAAATGGTGAAAGAAAGAGATGAACCCGAGTTCAGAGTTACAGCTGTAGCGCTGCATGAATGACCTTAAAGTTGCCCCTTGGGCCCTGAAAGAAGGTCTTATTGTAGTAACAGAACTGATACTGCCGAAAACCAAACCAATAGTCTTATCATAAGAGTGGCAGAATTACAACACCAGTTAAATTCCCAATCGCAACTGGTGTCTGAAGTTAAAGTAAAGGTATTGATTGGGAAGAAATGGGATCCTGAAACTTGGGATGGGGACATAATGGGCCCCTAAATTCCTTTTAATCACTCCTGCTAACAGAACCAGCCCTCTCACTCCCATCTGCAGAGATTACTCTATCTTTGTCTGCTAAGCCACCCTTCCCAGTAAAACCATTGGCCCCTACACCCCCATCTGATGAGATTAACCCAGCTGTGTCTGAAGAGCATTTGTCTGAGTCATCACCTGGGGAGGCATCTGAGTCATTGCCTAGGGTATCACCTGAGGCAGATGCTTTATAAAACATTGCTGCATGTTCTCAGAACATATCCCCACAACCCATTTTTGCTTCTAGACCTATAACTAGACCTAAGTCCCAGTGAGCTCCAAAAGGTGAAGTACAAGTTAGACAAAGGTCTAATCTATAATCTACAAGAAAAT